ACCCAGAAGCAGAAAGGTACAGCAGATATATTTCTTTGTTCCCTCAGCATAAATGCACATTTTTACATAAGTAGTTAACACTCCTGTTATCTATATAAGAGGGAGAATTTAATATGCTGTGTTTTTATATTTTTAATATTTGGGACCCATTTCTTCCTTAGGGAGAAGGCAAGCTCTTGTAAAACACTATTTTTTTATGGTAATTTTTTATTTATTTATTTTTTTGTTTTCAACATTTACTTCCACAAGATTTTGAGTTCCAATTTTTCACCCCATCTCACCCCTCCCTCCACCCCAAGATGGCATGCATTCTAAATACCCCTTCCCCTAATCTGCCTTCTCTTCTATCTCTCTCCCACTTCTCTCATCCCCTTCCCCTTCAATTTTCCTATAAAGCAAGATGGATTTCTGTACCCCATTTCCTGTATTTATTATTTCCCAGTTGCATGTGAAAACAATTTTTTTAAACATGTGTTTTTAAAACTTTGGGTTCCAAATTTTCTCTCTTCCTCCCTCCCCACCCACCCTCATTGATAAGGCAAGCAACTAAATATAGGTTATATATGTGCAGTTATGAAAAACACTTCCATAGCAGACATGCTGTGAAAAACTAACTCTATTTCCCTTAATTCTATCTTGCCCACCTATTTATTCTATTCTTTCTTTTGACCCTCTCCCTCCTCAGAAGGATCTGCTTCTGATTACTCCCTTTCCCAATCTGCCTTCCTCTCTATCATTCCCTTACTCTCTTGTCCCCTTCCCCACCTATTTTCCTGTAGGGTAAGACAGATTTCCACACCTAATTGAGTGTGTATGTTATTCTTTCCTTAAGTCAAATCCTATGAGAATAAGATTCACTCATTCCCTCTCACCTTCCCCCATTTCCCCTCCACTGTAAGAACCTTTTCTTTTCTGTTTTTTTTTTGTGGGATAATTTACCCCATTCTACCTCTCCCTTTCTCCTTCTTCTAGTATATTCCTGTCTCATCCCTTAATTTTATTCACCAGATATGACCCCTTCATTTTCAACTCACCCTGTGCCCTCTATCTATCTATCTATATCTATATATACATACATATAATTTTTTCCCCTCCAACTACCCTAATACTGACAAAGGTCTCATGAGTTACAAATATCATCTTTCCATGCAGGAATGTAAACAGTTCAACCTTAATAAGTCTCTTATGCTTTTCTCTTTCCTGTTTACCTCTTCATGTTCCACTTGAGTCTTGTATTTGAAAATCAAATTTTCTATTCAACTCTGGTCTTTTCATCAAGAATGCTTGAAAGTCCTCTATTTCACTGAATGTCCATTTTTTCCCCTGCAGGATTATACTCAGTTTTGTTGGGTAGGTGATTCTTGGTTGTAATCCTATCTCCTTTGCCCTCCGGAATATTACATTCCATGCCCTGTGGCCCCTTAATGTAGAAGCAGCTAAATCCTGTGTTATCCTGATTGTGTTTCCACAATACTTGAATTGTTTCTTTCTGGCTGCTTGTAATATTTTCTCCTTGACCTGGGAATTCTGGAATTTGGCTACAATATTCCTAGGAGTTTTCCTTTGGGGATCTCTTTCAGGAGGAGATTGTTGGATTCTTTCCATTTCTATTTTGCCCTCTGGTTCTAAAATATCAGGACAGTTTTCCTGGGTGATTTCTTGAAAGATGATGTCTAGGCTCTTTTTTTGATCATGACTTTCAGATAGTCCAATAATTTTTAAATTCTCTCTCCTGGACCTATTTTCCAGGTCAGTTGTTTTTCCAATGAGATATTTCACATTGTTTTCTAGTTTTTCATTCTTTTGGATTTGTTTTACAGTGTCTTGATTTCTCATAAAGTCACTAGCTTCCAATTGCTCTATTCTAATTTTTAAGGAAGTATTTTCTTCAGTAATCTTTTGGACTTCCTTTTCCATTTGGCCAATTTTGCTTTTTAGGGCATTCTTCTCCTCCTTGGCTTTTTGGACCTCTTTTGCCATTTGGGTTAAGCTGTTTTTTAAGGTGTTATTTTCTTCAGTATTTTTTTGGGTCTCCTTTAGCAAGCTGTTGACTTGTTTTTCATGATTTTCTTGCATCACTCTCAGTTTTTCCTCTACTTCTCTTACTTGCTTCTCAAACTCCTTTTTGAGCTCTTCCAAGGCCTGGGACTGATTCATATTTTTCTTGGAGACTTTGGATGTAGGAGCTTTGGCTTTGTTGTCTTCTTCTGGTTGTATGTTTTGATCTTCTTTGTCACCAAAGTAAGATAATATAGTCTGACTCTTCTTGCGCTGCTTACTCATGATCCTGGCCAATTACTTGAGTTTTAAACTCTTTGTTAAGGTAAAAGTCTGCTTCCAATGTGAAGAGTGTACTGTCCCAAGCTTCAGGGGTTTGTACAGCTGTTTTAAGTGGTAATTCTAGGGACCTGTAAATTTTCAGTTCTTCCAAGGTGGTATGATAAGGGGCAAGGTGTTTTCTCTCCACCACCACAACAAGCTCCACTGCACCAGCATTCCTCCTTGCCCCTCAGAGCTATGACCCACATCCAAGCACTGGTAAAGCAAGACATTCCTGCCTCAGCACTGGCAAAGAGATCCCTGCAATCCCCTTCTGATCAGTCACTCGATTCCCCCTCAGTCTGTGGGCTGGAAGCTCAGGAAAAAGCCAATGCCCCAGGCCGCGCTTGAGACTTGCGGCTGAGAACTTGCTCCTCTCTCTCCGCAGTCGCAGACTTTTCCCACTGACCTTCTAAGTCATCTTTGATGTTCAGGGGTTGAGAAGTCTGGAAACCACCACAGCTGCCCGCAATTCAGTCCTCTGAGGCCTGCTTCAAGGTCGCTGCTCCATGCCAAACTGCGCCCCTCTCCCCGCCCAGCATGATATACCTTTCTGATCAACCATCCAGGCTGTCTTTGGCTAGAAATTTGTTTCACTCTGTCTTTTTGTGGGTTCTGCTGCTTTAGAACTTGTTTAGAGCCATTTTTTTAGGTATTTGGATGGCTTTGGGTGAGAGCTCAAGACAGTCACTACTTTCCCTCCACCATCTTGGCTCCGCTCTGTAAAACACTATTGTTACAATTCTATTTATACAGATTTACATAAAAGAATCCCTTTTCACTAAAACAACTCACCTTGTTGTTGTTTAGTAATTTTCAGTCCTGTTTGACTCTTTCTGACTCTTTTTGGGGGTTTTGTTTGCAAAGATACTGAAGTGGTTTGCCAATATGCTTCTTCAGTTCGTTTCACAGATGAGGAAGTGAGGCAAACAGGGTTAAGTGGCTTGCCCAAGGTTACACAGCTAGTAAGTGTCTGAAGTTGGATTTGAACTCAGGTCTTCCTGGCTCCAGACCCAGCACTGTATCCACTGCACCACCTAGCTGTTCCTTTGCACACACTGCAACAATACTAATAATAGCTCAAGTTATATGGTGCCTTGTCATTGATAAGCACATTACTTAGTAATAGCCCAGTGAGATAAGTAGTGCAAATACCTTTATCCTTGTTTTACAAATAAAGTTAAGTAACTGCAACCCAGTTCTTTTACTTTCCACTCTTGTGCTCTTCACATTACACCATGATGCTTCTTGTGTAGAACAGTACTGCAACCTGTCTGCACAATGTAGGGTGTAAATATCCCAACAGGGACACCTGGTGTGAAGGTAAGAATAGGTATTAGACCATTTTCTGAAGCTGAGAGTCACCTCTATATGCCTCTCCAACCAGTAGCATTAGACTCATAGATAGAAGTGAGTTTGTTTATTTGTTTAACTGACATTTATATTTAGTAAAGGATAGAATTTCAGGAAAATATAAATCAGAGCATTTGTTGTGGGCTATTTGCTAAAAAAAATGGATGCCTAACAAATGAATAGCCAAAAGCTCTTCAATGAACTTTGGAAAGCTGGAGAATGCTCCTCTTATAATTATCTGCCATATTTACCAACTTACCTCTGATTAAGTATCTACTGATTTTGCCTGCTCAGTTGCAGAGAACTCTTTGAAGCCGAAGGCTTTTGTGTTTCAACTTTCACTTTCTTAATTAAACACTCATTGAAGGTATCTCCCAACCAACAGTATATTTGCTGGTGAAGGAATCTGAGAATCAAGGTTGTTAAATTAATAGAGAGGGTCTAAGTAATATACTATGTTCCTTGTCATCTGAAGACTTTTTGTATGCTTATTTCCATGTTTGTGGCTGTTGTAAATGGTTTAGGTTATTAGAAACACGACCACAGGATAAGTTGGGCATATTACTGTCCACTTAGGAAAATGGAAACTAAGCAACTGCCATTTAATCCAGAAATTCTAGGGCTTGTTAAGGAAACCTGAGCCAATGTCATTAAAAAGAATCTTTTAAAATGGTCAATGGAATTTTGAAGAAGTGTTGTGATTGATGATATATCAAAAATCAGTGAGACCCAAATTTGAAGGCTTTATTCAGTGAAATGGAGGAATATGAAAAGCACAGTAGCCATTCATCTGAAAAAAGAGGATGAAAAGTAGCAATCATGACAAAAAGCATTGACAGTGGTAGAAGAAAAGCTGATATTAATACAAACAGGAGTGATTTTGAGGGTGCATCTAGGGCATATTATCTAGTACAGTCTAGGTCCTGTACTTACGTGGCTGGTTAAGTATACTGTTCAAAATTATGACATGAGGCCTATTATGTGATCCTTAGTGATAAAAAATATATATATTTTTGGTTTTCTATATTGAAGAGGGCAAAAAACTGAATGTAATTTAAAAAACATTTTAAAAACACAAGTTAATATGGGTATATTGGTCACAAAGTTAACTTCCATTTACTGGAAAATTAAGTTAGCCAGAGTATTGAATTCTGCAAGATTCTAGTTAATTGAGTTGTTTCTGTAGTTTAATACAGTGATATCAATGCCAAAAGTGTGAACTATTATTATTATTGAAAAATATTTTAAAATTATTTAAACCTCTACTATTTTATAAAATTTTTAATGTTTTTTTTAAATTGAAAATAATTTTATTTCTTTTCTTTCAGGACAACATAACTATTTATGTGCTGGGAGAAATGACTGCATAGTTGATAAAATTCGCAGAAAAAACTGTCCAGCATGTCGTCTAAGAAAATGCTGTCAGGCCGGCATGGTCCTTGGAGGTAAAAATGTTATTTTTCTTTATCAGGAGTTATATAGTATTTAGAATATGAAACTGAATCAGAAAGTCTTCTGTTCTTGCATAGATATGCTCCTGATTTGTTTTGTTGCCTGGATTGTTTTTGTATCTCATTAAGTAAAAAAGTTACCATAATGTTATTAACTTCATAGATTTTCAGCATTTTGCAATCTCTAAACAGTTTATTGAAGATCTATTGGGGACCTCAGGGACCATCTAGTACAATCCCTTGCTGACCTAGAATCCTTTCTACAATACTTGGCAAGTGGATTAACATTTGTTTGAAGACCTCAGGTGAGAGGGGAACCATTATCACCTAAGTCAGCTCCTTCCCTTTTTAGAAAGTTGTAATAGGAAGTTTTTCAGCTTCTACAAATTGTTCATAATCCTGTTTCCGGTGCTAAGGAAGCAAGTCTATTCCCTTTATGTATAAGGATCCTTCAAATACTTGAAAAAAGTTATGAAAAAAGTCTTTCTCATCTTCAGTACAAATATTCCCAATTCCTTCAGCTGTCCTTCATAAGATTTGTCCTTTAGTCAGGTATGTGGCACAGTGAATAGAGTTCTGGGCCAGTAATCAGAAAGACCTGAGTTCAAACATAGTCTCAGATACTTACTATCTTTATGACCCTAGGCAAGTCACTTAAACACTATCTGCCTCAGTTTCCTCAACTTTAAAATGGGTATAGCAATAGTATCTATCTCCCAGGGTTGTTGTGAAGATCAAGTGAGATATTTGTAGTATTTAGCTCAGTGTCTGGTACATAGTGCTTAATAAATGCTTGTTTCTTTTCTTCTTTCCTCCCTTTATTTTTTCCTTTTTCTCTAACTCCCTCCCTATATACTAGTTACTCTGTTCTGGATATGCTTCAGCTTTTTTATATATTTCTAAAATATGATGTCCAGAATTTAACAGTCTTTCAGATATAGCCTTACTAGGCAGACTGTAAAAGATCTATTGCCTCTTTCTTTCTGGATCTTGTGTTTCTCTTATTAAGTTTCATACTGCTTCATATCTTTGGATCCAAACTGTCATCTTATGTGTTATCCATCCCTCCAACTTTCATATCATCTGCAATTTGAAAAGCATGCATCTTCATTGTCATCTAAGTAATTGATAGAAAATATTGAACATCAGAAAGCGAGGGAAAGTTTGCAGAGGTATAATACATTAAGACATCTTTGCAAATTACCATTGACCCCCTAATGACAACTCACTGGATTCAGTCATTTAATCTCTTCCAAATCCAACTAATTACACCAATATCTGGTCTTTATCTCTCAATTTTGTTTATAACATAAGTGTATCATAACACTGTTAAATGCTTTAGTGAAGTCTAAGTGTACCATGAAAATAATTTCTAGTTATTTTAAGAATTTAATTCTTAAGGAACTCTCATTCTTCTTACATTGGGTTGTCCATCAAAACCATTAAGATCCTACCTTTCCTTTCCCTGAACACTTTGAAACTTGCATGCCCAAAATCTAGGGTGCATGTCATATTATACCTGGTTTCCACCTACTTCATTATAACTATAAGAGAGTGGTCATTTGACCTGGAGATTCCTTTGCTGAGTTCTACCTTTTTTTATCAGAAACCATTGTTGTTTGTTTTTCTTTAGTTGTTTGCAGTCGTGTCTGACTCTTTGTGACCTCATTTCAGGTTTTCTTGGCAGAGATATTGGAGTGGTTTGCCATTTCCTTCTCCAGCTCATTTTACAAATGAGGAAACTGAGGCAAACAAGGTTAAGTGACTTGCCCATGGTCACACAGCTAGTGTCTAAAGGCCAGATTTGAACTCAGGAAGATAAGTCTCCCTGACTCTATCCCAGCACTCTATCCACTGTGACATCTAGCTGCCCATTGCAGCAGAACAGTTCTCCCTGCTACCTAACCTTCACTTTTTGAAGGATGAAATTATCTTTTAGGGAAGTCACAAATATTTCAATGGCTCTGAATTTGGTAGAAAGGGAGCTCTGGCAGCAGATGACCAAAAAGTTGAAGTCTCCCATCACTAAACTAGTGCGAGAGGTTATCTGTTTCCCAAATTCTCCATCTAATCTCTCCTATCCATGTAGTCTATAGAAAGCCTTACAAAAATGTTACGTGTATTTGTTCTTCCCTTGTTCCCTTACCAGTTTTTCAACTTCAGTTTCCTAGATTTCTACACACACGTGGATGTTCTTAATATACATTGCATTTATCTTTCTGATTCCTTTTTGAATAAGATATATCCCCTTTTGGCCAAATGCTAGTAATAAGCCCTGTGCCACCAACTCTGTGATATCTCTGAGATCAAATTTGTTTCCTTGACTTAGGATATTTATTACTAATACATGTTGTATCAATATATAATCGTATGAGGCCTTTTTAAAAAAAACAATTCTAATTATTTTATCTATTGTTTCTGGGAGCATTGCTCCCCTTTTCTTCTATTTTTTCTCCTACATTGTATTTACTGTACCTTCAGTATGAGGCTTGCCATATCTGTGTTATCAGCTTTCTGTCTTCCAGTCACTTCAATTCAAAACCCTCATGATCACATTTATAAGACTCCAGGATAGTACGCTTTTAATGGTCATTTTAAATTAAGACATACATTTCTTTTTTTTTTAATTTTTGCTAGGCAATGGGGTTAAGTGACTTGCCCAGAGTCACACAGCTAATAAGTTTGAAATTTCTGAGGCCAGATTTGAACTCAGGTCCTCCTGACTCCAGATCTGGTGCACCATCCACTGCACCACCTAGCTGCCCCAAGAAATCCATTTATGAGTCCATATGCTACATTTTAGGTCACAGTCCAGAAATCCCATCCCAAGGCACAATCTTTTTTCCTTCTTTTCTGAATCTCTTACCCTTAAAATATCAATAGCGATTTAAAAAAAATCTACCTTCACCTCTGCATCTTCAGTTTTTTACCCAAAACTTCCTGATCCTCAGAAGTAGTTTTAGGCTCCTTCTGCTAATATTATTTGTCTACACATGAATTACCAGGATTGCATAGTAGATTCACATTTAATTTCTCTATAATGTCCTGGATAAATTCCCTGAGAAAACATCAGACAATTCTGTTTTTACGTCAAGTTAATAATTATGCCACTGGATTCCTCATCATAGAGTCCACCACCATCGTGGTGATTGAACTGCCACTTCTCTTTTCTTTGACATTATTAGATGACTCCTAACCTGATATCAGTTGTGGATCCATATTCCTTTGAACAAAAGAAATTGCTTCCTTCAGAAATAGTACACTTCTTCCATTTATAGGAAAAGCCACATATCTATTACTTAGCTAAAATGGTTATATGTCGTACTTTTCTGCACTTGTCCAGACATAGATGAGAATTGCCCTCTTCTTCTTTATATCCTTTTTCTTCTTTGTTTCCTCCATAAGACATATGTTCCATTCTTTCAAGGAACATTTCAATCTCCTTCAAAAGTTTTTGAGAAAACTAGGATACCATTCTTCTAGGTATTTCATTCCCTGTTCTAGAAGAGAAACCACCTTGCACTTTGTTATAATAAGTGTTAAATTATATTGGCAGACACACAAACATAGTACATTCCCTACAGCATAATTCTCCTTGCCCTTCATGTTTGCTTGAAGCAAATTTTACCATCCTTGGTCTTCTTTTTGACAGCACTCTTGGTTAACCCTTGTGGCTAACTACAGGAGCTAACTATGAAATATGAGACTCAAGATATGAATATAATGAGATCCACTCATCTCATTTTACTTTGCCACTGAACTGCAGAACCTTCCCTCTACTTTCCTGGACACTAAGTTCTCTTCTGGAGAGGTATTTAATTCTTAGGAAAGAACACTGGCCTGAGTTAGATGTTCTAGATTGTAGTTCTAGCATTGTCTTACCAAGCTGTGTTGATATTGGATAAGTCAATTTGCATTGTTGTTTCATTTTTTCTGGTTATTAAAAATATAGGGTTAAATAATCGTATTGCTGATTAAGCAGTATGAGTCTGTATTCCCACCTAGAGAACTCATAAACTCTATAAAATACAATGTGCTTTAATAGAACTAGCAGAGGATTAGGAAGTTGGGAGAAAAACTTTCAAGTTATTAGTCTGTCATTGCTCAATGAAATATAATATTTGAAAACTTATTTATTTATCCCTTAAGTTTCTCAGGCTTTCATTGGGCTGTCACAAAAATCATAGAAACCATAGTGGAAGCATATCAAGATAAGGAAAAACTTCCCCTATTGTATGTTTTATAGTAACAGCATTCTCATACTTGAAAAAAAAATCTCCAAAACTGAAGAAAAGTTTTGGGAAGTAATGATACTGGCCACAGCAATTGAGATTTGACTATCATACAGATAAATTGACTTCCCCAGCACTTGAATTCTTTCTCCATATTCTTATTGGGTATAAAATAATAGGATTGACTACTGTGAATTAGTTGCTACTACTATTGCTTTCCTGCAACTAACCTGTGGAAAGGAAATCTTGCTCGGTTTCTAGCTGTTGCCACTTCAAAAGGTAAAAAAAATAGCTTATAGAGTTGAACCATTTGGTAACCCACAAAGTGATTACTAAGTTAAACAGTTCTACCAATATTATAAGAATCTATATTATTATATTATATACAATATAATAGAATATTATAGATATAATAGAATATATTGCTATATTAATATTGTCTATTATATTCTATTCTCACTTGCATTTTTATTTAGAGTTATTATGGTTTCTTCACCACTAATAAGGTAACGTATACGCTACCCATTACTTCCATTAGGAGAGATTTTCATTGTCAATTCTAATGATCGTGTTTTAGAAGTACATAGTTATAGTTTTTCTGAAAGAAAAGAAAGTATAAATATATATGTATCTGTTATACATATATGATATATGTGTATTGTATTTATATGTATGTTTATTTTACAAATTAAAGCCTTATAAAATAATACTTTTAAATGTCCATAAATTTCTTGTGTTTTTTTCCTTGTTATTTTCTTTTTA